TTTTCAAAATTTGCGAGTAAGCAATTTGCGAATTATAATTAAAAAAACAGAAGAGTGAGCCAACTTTACGTAGCCCCTCCAAGTCACCCTAGAATTTCAAAACTGATACCAAACGACGGAGGTGCGCCCGAATAATCGAGAAAAAAATCGAAAACACTAAAATCTCCATAAAATGAGGTTGGGGTAAGCACCAAGATCGTAAAAATTCGGAAGATGGTCGTGAAAACGCGAACGATTTTCGTGCCGAATGTCGACGAAGGAAATTTTCGAAAATCACATAGAGACGGGGACTGTGTACGTGATTTGACCGATCGTCGAGCAGTGGAATCGTGTTCGCTCACGGGAAACCAAATACGTGTAATTTTTCGTCGGATCGGTAGTCACCGCGATCTAAGATCTAGCGGTTTGCGTCCGCGATCGCGAAACGTAAAAGGGGACGCGAAGAAGGGACGGTCGGCGGCGGGCGCGCGCAGGAGTCGGTGGGAGACGGCCCCGCCAATGGGGTGCCGGGAAAACGCTGTCCGCGGCGCACCGTTAGTCGGACGGGCACGGTGAACAGCGAACGCGCACGGTCGGCAGGACACGGCGAATCATATCATATCTCTCTCTCGTCGTCGTCGTCGACAGTGTTTTGCCGTCTTGTTCGTCCTCGTCGCCGCGCGACCGCGATCGTGCAAAGTCCGGCACACCGCATCGCGTACTCGATTTCTCATCGCGTTCCGGTCAACGCGCGCCACTTCGCCAGTCTTGTCGGCGCCGTACATAATTACAACGACTTAACATATACGAATATTATATACTCGCACAAACCCGTACACACACGCGCGCACCGCACACACACACACAAACCGCCCGCACAGGTCAGTAGAAAATCTAATATGTACGTATTGTGTAATGTGTGTTCCGCGGGGCCGGGTGACGTGTCCATTTGTCGGGCGATCGGGGTCGACCCCCAGGACGAATGGTCACGACCCCGGTGACAGGCAAACGTTCCTTTTCCGACTCGTCCGACAAACCCTCGTGCTCTGTTCCTCGTACCTCGTCCACGTCGAGAACAACACGCGTTTTACGTAATGTTCGCTGCTCGTAGCTGAACCGGTATTCGGAGTAAGTTTCATACATCAGCGCCGGTGGACTTCGCGAGCAATCGTGCCCGTATCGAGAATTTTTACTCGAACGTCGATCTGTTTCGAATATTTACGAACAGATATATACGCAAAGTTCACTTGGAATAGTATTCAGTTTTTTTTTTCGAATAACCAAACAAGCTTAGATTGCGACATTCGTACGTACTCGATTTGTTTGAAAATTTTACGATTCGTTTAATTTTTTTCTTATTTAATAAAATATACATGGAAAGTGTTAAATATAATGAACATTTTTTAAACAATATGTCGAAATATAATATAACGTTAATTGTCGCCCCGGAATCAGATATAAAAGCGTAATTTTTGCACGTATAAAATTTTTATGGAGACAATTACCTGATAAATTTCAACGACTCTCCAATCGTATCGGGATAAAATAAATAAGTATGAGCTGCATGGTTTAAAAGTTTAAAACTTCGACCTGTTCAACATCTTTAATTATTATCATGAACGATTTCTTAATGCAAGCTTTGCTATAGGCTTTGTACGTACTATCGTAACTTAAAAAGGAAAAAATCATATTAATCCATGGAATTTTACAATACTGTTGTACTTTCGATTTACGCTGGAAACACGTTTTGAGATCCGCAATCATTATTCACTAGATATCGAAAATCAACTACGTATATCGGTAACGGCTCGTTGAAATTGTAGACACAAATACATTTTTTTTTGCTTAGAGAAAATGCTTATACAATTATTTATAGGCGTTGACTGAATTCTAATTATTTTTTTTTTCTTGTTGTTAATACGTATACGAAATGTGAATACGTACGAGTATACCTGATTAACTTGTTAAACATATATTCTGCGCTCAAACAAAAGAAACAATTTCAATTATACTTTAAAGCTTATAGTTTATTATAATAGTTATCAGGTTACTTTTCTACCATCCTGTGTATTGCAATAAAAAGTTTAGAACTTTGCTATTTTTTTTAATGTATTTATTATTTTGTTATCGATTGCCAATTGATAACTGTTTATTTTATATTTTACGATAAGAATCTGTTATCATTTTCAGTATTCACAGTGAACACTCCTATAACTTCATTTACTAATTACTAGACCTATTGCAGGACGACTCACTTAGTGAATAATTACAATAATTTGTTTGCATCATTATACACATATCGAATTATGGTAAATTTATTTTTGATTTTTTAATGTGTATCGAATAACTTTTATACTCACAATTGATTATTTTATTAAAATTTAGATTTTTGCAGTATTCAATATCACATTTTCTGCATCTCATTCTTAGGTAACATAATTAAATTTACTAGCGAACACACGAGACTTTTTAAACGATTACAAAACTAAGTTGGATGATAGTAATAATTATTAATAATCAATGTTAATGCTTGTCTTAGATCGTATGTACCATTTATTGTTTATATAATACTTCATGCACGATTATGAAATATTTTCATGGTTATAAAGCTACGCTATTTTTTTATTTACTAATTTTATTTTTTTAGTATAAACGGGCAAGTCATTAGTAATATTTACTTGAATTTGTATTAAGTTAAACAAAATTATGATACGTGAATATCACGGAGCAAAAAATAAATAAATTGATAGTGAAATAATAAAAAATAAAATAACAATTAGTAAATAGTTAAAACTCGCAAATTAATATGTAAATAAATAAAATACACCATTTATTTATACATATATAAAAAATAAATAAATAATTAAAAAGAAAAAATGGAGTACAATATAATCATATACAAAATTACAATATTTATATTTAAAAAGAGCGAGATGGATTCGCATTGATATTTGACACACTTTATCGTAGTAGTCAATTAACTAAGTGGTGTTAGTATAGTGGCAACTTGTGTTTTAACCTTATGTGTCGGTACATCATTTGAAAAACCACTTAAACACCTACACTGATGTAATATTAATCGTACATTATCATGCGTATTGGCTGTAAGAAACAACCCTGTCAATCTTTCTTCACCCATTCTTGCCCTTAACCAAATTTTAAGCAGCTTTAAAGAGGAAAAGCTTTTTTCTGCTGTTGGGACTGAAATTGGCAATGCAACTACAATTTTAAGAAAATATGTATGTATTGGATAGTAGTTTTGATCTCAATGATTTATTATGTCATGAGCAGAATTTATATTTTTAAACTTATGTTCTACTAATAAAGAATTATTGTTTTTTTTTTTCATGGAAATTACACAGATAACAAGTGACATACTATGGTCGACGATTTTTATTACGAAAATAACGATTGTAATAATTGTTATTCCAGTAGGTACACTCTATGATTGATACAATACTTAACATAATTATTGGTGTGTGACTTATATGTACAAGAAATTATAATCTATTATGTACGATGTAAATTGTTCATATAATTCTATTAGTAGACAAGAAGTTTAGAATTATTCAAATATAAATAAAAAATAATTTATTTGTTTTATTTTTTTACCATGTATGAAAAAAAAACTTTTTTGGAAAATTTGGAATAGGCGAGTGGGGCCTTCGCCTTTCTTGGATCTGCGCTTGGCCTGGAATCGATCAGTTTCGGGGTTCTAAAAAGTTCTCGTTGACCCTGTGTATATCATGTGTAGCTGGCAATTTTTCTACCAAAAATTTATCAATTTTACATTAAAATGTTACTCTTCATTTTTAATACTCCTACGTGCGTGATTTTTTCCGTTTATTTAGGGACAAATTCACGGCTCGATATTTTTGTGAAAAATACTCGTCATACTAATTAAATACGCAAATAACCAGATTGGTGGGCTGATACATGCATTGATTTTTATACATAATTCAAGCTGAGAAATGGGATGGACATTGTGTGGAAGTACAAGAATACTCATTCGTCTCACATATTGGAACCATAAAAATTACGTCTATTTTAAAATTTTTATTATTTCTAGTATTAAAAATGTATCTATTGTTCTTTTTATCACCCATATTTTATAATAAATCCCATTTTGATATAGGATTTTTTTAATTTTTTTAAATATATATGTATGCGTCGTTTGATAAATTTTGGTTGTGATTGAAATATGGATTTTAGGAAACAGCCAAATCATTCCTTAAAAGTAGTAAATAAACAATATTGTTATCAACATATTATAATATAAATTTAATATAAATATGATCAATATTTCTTTCGTAATAATACTTGTACATTAAGTATGATCATTAGGAATATATTTGAACAAAATTAATAAATTGTTCACTTCAATTTAGTAGCTTTAGTTTGAATAATTTAATAAAAATACTTTGCTCTCCATATTTTTAAATTAATTAATTTGATTAATTATATTATAGATCTTTCACGGATTATAATGTGATACGTTTATACATTTATATGAAAATAAAAAACTAAATCAAATTATATACGATAAAAAATGTTTTTGCTAAGAAATAGTTTATAAATATTGAATGAAAATAGCTTACAAAATTAGAAGCTAGTCAATATACTAACCAGTTTATTTTGTATCTAACTTGATTTAAATAATTTATCCAGATTCAATTAACTTGTGCAACTAGGGGACAGATATTTTAATTTAAAATGTCTATTAAAAAATGGGATGGTTAAAAGAAAGTTGAAAAATGTCTACGACGAATGTATACGTGTATATACGTGTATTAATATAATTATTTATAGTGAAAATGTTTTCCTTTCGAAATTTTTTAATTTTTGCACATTACAATTGTTTATTTAATCATTGCAGTTTATACAAGATATTTGCAAAAAAAGTAACACCTATCTCTATAGCATCTTGGTAGTAAATTTAGTAGGATAAACTCGAGAATAATTATTTTCCATTGAGATACTTCCAAATGGGAAAAAAAGTAGATAATTGAGAAGAGTTTTTAGTATTTATCGCTCTTTGATATGTTTACAAATCATCATACTTTAAAACATCACTGAAATACTATTTTGCAATTCTATCCATTTTACGATTAAAATAAATTGCTTGAGATGAAGATATTTTTTTACAATTTAAAAATATGTTAAAAAATAACATATTATTTCAACCACTCGTGATTAAGGATTTATACCATACAGTTATGTAACATAGGTTATGATATACTCACTAGCGGGGTAAGATTTAAGAGGTTCAGGGGGCCCAGGCCTCGAGCCTCCACTAAATGTGGATTTTTGTATCCAAGTATAATACACAATTTAACATTTGCAAAATAGATTTAAATCATAACTTGAATAAAAATGTTCAATCATTGGTATTATCATAAATTTATAAATAAATGTTATTATTAATATTTAATAATAACTAATAATATATTTATATATTATAATTGCATAAAAATTAGTAGTTAGCTTATCAGTATAAATTTAAATAAATTTACTATTTTTATTGTTCCATCGCAACAAATCATTGTTTTTTCCTAACCAAAATTTTGAATATTTGGAATTTTGGTTAATAAATACATATGTGTAACCGAAAAAAAGATCTACTTCTAAGGGTGGGTACAGAGCCCCCACATTCCTAAATCTGACCTAAATCTAGTTGTATAGTATTGGCCAAAAATCAATCGCCAACTGTATTATTTTAAATTTATAATTAAGATAATGTGTTGTATAACAATACTACTGCTGAGTCACCATTTTTTAGTATATTATCATATTATAATCCCATATAGCATTATTTAATTTGTTAACTTTAGTAAAATGTTTTGATTATTCAAAAAACATTTTTGTTTCTTCTATGCTCTAA